ATGCTGTTAACAAACAGCTCAGCAGTGGCAGTTCTTACATTTTTTCACTTGTGAGAAGTGGCACTTTGAATCCAAAAAAGTTTGGGAAGACTGGAAATTACACCAGTAATGAATTTTGTCTTTATTCTCAAAACAGTTCAGCACTTTTTGCATTCGGTGGTGGTTGTGATATACTTGTGTACAAAAAAGGCATTGATGGTAGTTATTGCAGCAATCCATCCACTTACACCGCCAAACAAACCGAGTTGACTGATAAAAACAAATTCACACCCAAGAGTATCTTTGTTTTCCAACTTAACTGACTTTTTTGTCATATTTTGTTTTTGTATAATATTTACAACACTTTGACTCCAAAGTGTCATATTTGCAATTTGCCACGTCACTACAACTTGAATTAATGTACACAAGTTTTAACAAAATATGTCCTTTTTGAAGGGCCGGACAGACAGGAAGAAAACGGGTTTTACCCTTCAAACCTAACACTGGAACGAACACTCGATTAGGACATCTTTGATGTTTCTTTTTTCAGGCATCTCCTCTTTGTGTCTAGTATCTTCTGGAGATGGATTTACGACGCCGCAACTCGCCGGGTTCAACAAGTTTCGACAGTTGCGGCATATCTACTCTTTGTGTCCCGTTGTATCTTTCCGAAGTATATTAATTGAAAAGTAGTTTGGTATTTTTATTTATTATGGGTTTTCTCAAACTACAAACTATAGTAAAATATTAAAATCATATTAAAGTTGATATTTTCATCTAAAAACAAATAGCACAATTGTTGATATAATTAATTATAATTTGATAGTTTGGTAACACAAATTTTTAAAGCAACAAACTAAAAAAAGATCAATAGACTTTTTTACATATTAAGAATATGACAATTGACAATATATAATATTAACTATTTTAAATAAAATAAGTAAAAAGCACTGCTGACGCTATTAAGATCGGGCATTTATTATAATCATTAATAAAATTTAGAATAACAAATTTGTTTCCAAGTAAAATATTCCTATTTTTCCCGTTTTTTTACTGTTTTTTTAACACAGAGATAGTGGAAATTATTTCAAAATAAAACTATAACGAATAGTTTATTTATCATAATGTACCATAAATAAAGAGTTGTGAAAGTGTATTTTTTGGATTTCAATTATCTCAAAAACTTTATTTTTCAAAAAACAATATGTGTTGAAGTTTTTGCCTTTGCAAGAACTTCAACTCCCTCAGCCGTCGTCTCAGACTTCAACAACACTGCAACACATCGACCATATGGAAGATTGAAAGCGGCTCCTGTTTTGTGAGCTATTTAGTGAACAACCCCAAGGAATGTGGAAGAAACGGCTTACCATCAATGGTAGCTGCATTGTGCATCTTCTCTCTTGCAACAAAACCCCGTTGAATGACTCGAAATAGTCGTCGAAGACTAATTTGCCTGTTTTTTTTACAAGACCGTCTGTGTACTCATTTGTTATAACTGGGACATAAGCATCAACCACATGAACCAAAACATTGATACCACAGTCTGTTCGAGCTTTCTTTGGTAATGAGACACAAAACATTGGGTCGATGATAGCAACTGATGGAGTCAATGAATATTCTTCAAGTGGACACTTCTTGCCAGTCTCTGTGTTTTTGATGACAGCAAATGGGGTGACTTCAGACTCCATGCCAGTTGTCAAAGAATTCATGAAACTATTTTGTGAGAAGTATGGCAAGAGTGGCAAAAGTTACACTGAAGAATTCAGATTTGGTAAGACCAAGATTTTCTTCAAGGTTGGTGTTCTTGCTGAAATTGAAGAGATTAGAGAAAATAGAATCACTTAAATTGTTGGTGGTCTTCATATGTGTGCAAAAGCCATCGCACAAAGAAAGCTTATTGAACAAAAATTCGATGAACATATTGCCATTATTGTCATTCAAGACACCATTCACACTTGGTACCAATTCAGAAATTGGGTTTGGTTCAGATTGTTCCAAAAGGTCAAACCAACACTCAAGAGAAGAAGAGTCAACGAAGAACCGCAGCCAAGGACAAAGAAATTGAAATTTTGAAGAAGAAGCTTGCTGAAGAAATTGCAGAGAGAGAAGCCGTTGAAAAGGCACTTTCTGAAATTAAAATCAAGAACGTCGACTTGGAAGCTTTATTTTGAAAGTTTAATGAAGATATTGAATCAAAAAAGGTTTTAATTGAAGAGGCGGATATAAAGTCACAAGAAGACCCAAAACACATTGAGGAACTCCAAGGTGATATTAAGAGAGGAAAGGAAGACTTGAGCAAGTTAACCACTGAATACAACTAACTTGAAGCTGATAATCAAAGACTTCAAAACGAAATTACTGAGCACAAAGCGACTATTGCTAGGAAGGATAGTGTCATCACCGAGTAAAACAAATACATTGAAGATAAGGAAGGCGAAATTTCCGACTTAAAGAAGAAACTTGAAGCTAAAGAAGACAATTCAAAATATCTTGAGACGCAATCACATGAGAAGGAAGACGACATTGCTGATTTGGAGAAACAAGTCAAGATCTTGCAAAACACCATTTCTGATGTCAACGCACAGAAAGAAGACTCCGGAGCTGTTTGATGATCTTGCCAATATTAAAAATGATTTGAAAAAGACTCAATTTGCTCTTGACGATACTGAGAAGAAACTCTACAAACAAATTGCTCAGAACAAGAAGGTCTCAGACGAGAGAGATGGATATAACCAACAATTGCAAGCTGAAAAGACCAAGACTGCTGCTTTGACCTCAGCAAAGAATGCAAATGATAAAAAGATTTTATCATTGAATCAGAGAAAGACGAATTAGTAGATAAGAATAGAAAACTTGCTGAGTTGGTTAAGAGAATTGAAGATAGTCTGAATGACTCTGATATGTTGAAAGCATAGAAGTCCGACAACGAAGCTCGAATCCAAATTTGTAAAGATGTTATGGAGAAGACTGAAAATCGAATTTAAATCAAAAAGACGTTGAAATTCATAAATTGAACGAACAACTTGCCTAAACTGCTGATAAGAAATACAAGCTTGAAGCTGATACCGAGAATATGAACAGAAAGAAAGATGCTTAAGAGAAGCAATTGGCTCAATTGAAGGCTGACAATGACAATTTGACTAAAGCCAAATCTGTTGTCGATGCCAAATTGAAAGACGCTGAAAGAGAAAAAGCTGCTCTTAACGAAGGGGTTAAAGCCGCAAACGAGAAGTTGAGAATTACTAAGAACACTTGGGAAGAACTAAAGCCGAACTTGACCAACTCCAACAGAACTTTGACTATCTTAAGAAGAATGCCGACACTGATGCTGCCGATAAGAAGAAACTCAATGGAACGGTTAATGAGAGCAATAAGAAGATTGAGGAATTGGGTGCCAAAGTCGACGAACTTACTGGTGTTATCACAAGAAGAGAACAAGAAGTTGCTGAAGCCAACGAAGAGCTTGAAACTGTCAAGAAGGACAAAATTGTGAAAGAAAAGGAGGCAAAGAAATTGAAAGCAGAAAACGACGAAATTAAAGAGAACATGAAAAACTTGGCGAATGACAAAGACCAACTTTGTCTTGAAAAGAAGAAGCTTTAAGACGAATATGACCTACTCAATAACTTGGTTTCAGGACATGAAGACGAGATCAACAATTTGAATGGTTCGATCAAAAAGTTACAAAGAGACTTTTGTAAGACTTTAGAAGCAAACAACACCGAGTTGACTGAATTAAGAAACAGAACAACTAAAGACAAGAAGAAAATAGCCGATTTGGAACAACAAGTACAAGACCTTGAAGATAGACCAGTTGGGACTTCAAATATTGATCGAACAGAGGTCATCAAGAGAGACAACCAAATTGTTGATTTGGAGAAAACGGTTGCTGCGTTGAAAGAACAGAACACTCAACTTGATGCTGCTAATAAGGATATAAAAAAGCAAGCAATTGAAGATGTTTTTAAGATTAAGAATTATGAATCACAAACTTAGGCACTTGAAGCACAAAAGAAGATGGCTTTAAACAACAAAACTAATGAAAAAGACTGCCTCATTTCTCAATCAATCTGATAGAAGAAAGAATGTGGAAGACCAAGTCAAAACACTCAATGCACAAGTTTCATCACTTAAAGTCCAAGTCAGTGCACCAGCTTCTGTTGCTCAAAAAGAAGAGAAGAATATGTTGAATGCAAGAATTGCTGAAATCCAAACTCAACCCGATGAAGAAAGACAGAAGGCTGACAGTGCAGATGCATTTTGAAAGGCTGCTGATAGCATATTACAGTAAGTCCAAATATTACTATTATAATTGTTATTTGCTTCATCAACTTGGATGAAGCAAATAACACTAAAGAAAAAATGACTAAAAAGCGAATGACTTGACGGTCCAAGTTGATCAACTTACTGATGAGAAGAAGAAGAAGGATTTGGAGGAAATGGACAAGATGATTAACAAATTGAATGCTGAAGTCGACATAGCACAGAGACAACTTGACACTGCAAATGATGACAAAGATGGCACTGAAGCGATAAAACACAAATACCAAGACAAACTGAAGAGCGTTAGAATTGAACTTGATCAAGAATAGAAAGACCATGCCAAGACCCAATTGATTAAAGGCAAGTACGAGAAAGATATCGCTGAAATCATAAAATTCATTTGCTCGGCGAATGTTTGTTTGCCCAACTGTATTCCAAAACTAAATAATCAATAACACAACCAATGACATAAATAAGATTTAGACCATTTGACCAATCATTTTCATCTAAAAGTGAATAAATACAGTTGATTTGGTAATAAATTTGAACAAAATAATAAGAAAATAATGTTAACAAACTTCAAGTAAAGTTATCAGTCTTTTTGAAAATCAACGACTTGATAAACTGGCTGTCTGAAACTCCACGATTTTCTTTTCTTGACGCTCACGAAGCAGCTTATTTCTTTGATTTTCGTTGTTTTGTATTTCAGTTATAGCTGTTTAATTCGTTGTCGTATTTGATCATTTAATGCGTGTTTGGCAACATGTTTTTGAACATATCAATATTATTTTTTGTTTAAGTCGAGTACCAAATAAATCGTTTTATTCGTTGATGAAAAAAATGCTTAGCCTTTATGTTTTTAAGTTGTAAAAAATCAACCAATCATATTCGATAAATAAGTTTAACAGAATAAATAAGGTTTCTGTATCGAATTTAATCCTAATATAAAATATCCAAATTTCACTTTTTAAAGTTAATATAAACTACTTGTATTTAAATTTGTTCTTTTATTAAACAATAAAAATGTTTTTATATTTAAACTATCTATATTCCACAAAAATAATAAGCAAAATTGTCTTTCAGGTATAAAGTTAATTAAAAACGCACAAAAATATAACTTGTTAATCAAATTTAAAATTTAATCACCACAATTATTTAAATCCATTTAAAAACAATTGGGTGTGTTGATTTTGGAAAAACATGGGTTGTGTTTGCCCAAACCCAAAAGTTCGATTTTGTACAGTATATTGGTCGTTTTGTAGTAATAACTGTTTGTTTTCAACGATATGAACATTTTCACAATTATCAAGTTGAACATTTTCATTTACTTTTATAGCAACAGAACACTCTTTACAATGCTCTAACACAACATGTGAAGTCTCACTTTCAATATTCAAAACAATATTTTCGCAGTGTTCACACTTCACTCTTTGAGCATTTACGTTTTGTTGTTCTTTAAAATCAGGGATATTTCTCTCAATCAATTCTTCTGAACATAGAGAATATAAATTTTGAGGGATGTGCGAATTGTCAATTTCCATCTTAACAACAACATCTTTTTCAGAAAACTGTTGACCACTAAAATTGTTAATTGTTGTGTTTTTAATTATCAACATTTCTATTATGTTTCCAATTTGAAAATTAAATGTTATAGATGAGTCGTACATTGAAATCGACCTATTGGCGCTATCCAACATATAACCCAAATCTATACACTTCTTAAATATGACATTGGGTGCGCCAAGTAGAATAAGGCCTCCTGGTGTTGGATTAATGTAATTCACAAGTTCATAAGTCCCACAAACGACACTGCGCAAATTCGATAAACTCCCGCAGTAATTTTCAATTTTAACAGAGTTTAAAATATCAATTTTTTGAATCAAATGAATTGACTTTCTGGGCGAACAAACACAATTTTTTAATAAAAAATTTGGATGGTCGATCACTACATCCTTTAAGTTGACAGTTTCAGTTTTTGTGTCCAAGTCTCGCATGTTATTATTGGTCATTCTTGAATATAATGAGAGTATTTTATCTTTAGCTGTATTGTATTCTTCACAAGTCATCATCTCAGTGACACAAACAATATCTTCATTTTTGCTTTGTACTTTGTGGCAAATTAAATTAAGTTCTGATGGAAATTTGAAAGTTGAATTATTCGAAACAACACAATCTTTTATTGACTCAAAATTGCCAACAAATTGAATGTTTTTAGAACTGTTAAGTAAAAGGGTTTCCAACTTGTTTGTTTCAAACCAAAACTCACAATTGTCGCAGTAGTCAATTTTCAGAGTCGTACAATTTTCAAAAGTGTTTTTGAATACAAAATTGTTCATGTTAAATAAAAACACTTTCTTAGTTTCTTTGAAATTTATTGGGATGAAGTCTTTGATTGAACAGAGTGTTATATTCTCTGCATTGATTTGGTGTGAACTTGTCAGTTCTGATTTGTTCACAATCAATTTAATTACTTTGCTTGATACCGTTGGTTTGACACAATCATCAAGTGTTAACGAATTGATAACAGTATGTGTTGTCACACTCATATTTTGGCAACCTTTAAAATGCAATTTCAAGTCTTTGTCGTTCAAAAACACGAAATTTGTATTTGTGAACATATTAAAAGAAAAATCGTTGTGTTCTTCAGCGTCGATTGTCACCGTGCAATTATTTAATTGAATCATATTAATATCATTGGCACAGTTTTTATTCACAAAAACGTCACAGTTGTTTGTGAATTCCAAATTTAACTTCTTCAACTGTTTCAACATCATAAAGTCAATTTCCTTTCTCAAATTTTTAATTGACATTTCTTCAACACAAACAAATGGAAAATTTGGTATACTTTCCCACACCTTTTTATCACCTTTTCTGGTAGTTTTTACTTCACAAGCAAAGTTTTCAAGTGTGACCTTTTTTACTGAAGGACACGTGTTGGAAAATGTTATTTGAGTATTGACACTGATCACTTCTTTCACATTTAATATCTTTGGTAGTGTAAACTCGTTAGTATTATTACCCATTTCCATTTCGTTTTGTGATTCTATGTATTTTATTTTCAAGACTTCAACTGTGTTATCCAACTGCATTTGTGACATATCAATTCCATTGCCAACAAACTCTATTTGTGTCGGGTAACAATTACGAATGACACTTTCAAGTTTAGTGGTCTCTATCAAATTTCTAAATCCTGTTGTGTTGACTGTCACTAAACTGTTGTTACAGATTGGACGGAATGTGTCTAATACATCTCAAAATATCGTCGAAGTGTAATTCTTGCAGTTTGGCGTGAGACTGACATATTGATCAAATCCCTTTTCATCAGACCAATCTATGTATATCTCACAGTAGTGTGTTTTAACGGTGTCCGGACAAAATAATGTTGGCAAAAATAATGTAGGACAAAATAATGTGGGCAACAATAACAATTCAACAAAAGTTCATTTGAATTCAACAATTAACACTTTTAAAAACAACAATTTTTTTAATCTATTTTTATAAATAATTATTCAATTAATAGAACTTAATTCAATATCAATTTTGTAGTTTTTAGGTCAATTTCCCGATAAAAT